TAACTCCTTGGATTTGGCAGACAGTCTGGGCTAGAAGTATCCACTTTGTTGCTACCTATGGCTTAAACTCTAACTCAGTCACCTATGAGTTTTAGATAATTGTGCATGGCTTCTAAGTCTCAGTGTTCCTATCTGTGAAATGGGTCAGAAATTGACTGTCACTTCTTGACCTGAATTACCAATCCCAGCATTTACTGCCCTTAGGCAAATGTATAAGATCGGTCTTTCTTCATTGATGGAATGGGACTAATAACAATAGCTGAAGTGTGCCATTGTATTGTATAGATTGTTGTGGAGTGGCCCCAATTCATGGCAAACCCATGCATAACAGAACGAAAGGTTTCCCAGTCCTGCACCATTCCTGTGATCAGTTATAGATCTGACTGTTGTCACTCAAAGGCTTTCTACTGACTGATTTTTGGAAGTAGATTATCAGATCTATCTTCGTAGTCCATCTTAGTCTGGAAGCTTCACTGAAACCTGCTCAGCATCGTAGTAATTCCCAGGTTTCCACTGACAGGTGGTGGCTGCACATGAGGGGCATTGGCTGGGCATTGAACCTGGGTCTCCCGCATGGAAGACGAGAATTTCGCCACTGAACCACCACTGCCTCCAGTGTAGGGATAGGATGAGATGCTAGATATGAAGGGCGTGTTTGGCAGTAGTGCTTCGTCCATGGTAGCATTCAGAACAAAATATGTGTTATTTTTTTCTTGGTTTAAAATTCTATAAACACAGGTTTCCCCTACTATGTGAAAGTAGAACATTTGAAACCCTTGGTAAGCCCAAATGGCATAAAGAGAAGAAGCACTTACTATTAATTAGAGGAAACGGTTTTGAGTGTTACCAGAGTAAAAAAGTAACTTACCGAACCATACCAAAGAACGCATGAAAGCTAAGATCACAATAACAGACCCTGTTCACAGATGCACTTCAGAGCTGTGGCGGCTGGATACTGAGATGCAGGGTGTAGTTCCCAGGGAAAGCACTTGGGGGCGCCACTCTCAATGCTCGGAGTGCACGCTGCCTCTTAACTACTTGCTGCAAAACTAACGCTGAAGGCTACTTTTGCTTTTTGCCATTCTTTCTTTCAGTTAGTGAAAACAGGTACTAATGGAGGTCTATCATAGAAGCCAAGTGGCATAAGACAAACTTTCAGAAAGCGCAGGTTACCTGTATTATCTCTTCTCTTTTTCTTTTTCCTCTTCTTCCGTCTGTGTATACCCTTGTGTGATTTCCCCCTACCTGAATCTTCTGTTCGCCTGATCGCAAGCTCAACAGGGTGGAGTGTAAGTTTTTCTTTGTTGTTGTTGTGAAGTGCCGTCAAGTCGGTTCCAACTCATAGTGACCCTGTATAGGGTTCCAGAGGAGCATCTAGTGGGTTTGAACCGCTGACCTTGCAACTCAAACGGACCTTACTGTCCAGTGCATTATCCTGCTAAATAGCGGAGATGAGGAATAATATCGGTTCCTTCTGTGGGCATTCAGTTTGCTTGTCTGGTTACAAAACCCAACCCACTATCAAGTGATCTTGGACTCATAAGTGAACACAGAGGATGAAATAGAACTGCCCCATACAATTCTAAGGCTGCAAAGCTTTACGGAAGCAGGCTGCCACATCTTTTTCGTGTGGAGCAGCTGGTAGATTCGAACCGTTGACCTTTTGCATAGTATCCAAGTGCTTTAACATCTGCACCAGCAAGGCTCCTTGTCTGGGCCCCTCCTTCTCTGTGGAGTCATTTCCTCAAAGACTCGGACAGTGGGAACTTCAGAAGGAGAGAACAAACTGCCTCCCGCCAGCATCTTTCCATTGACAGCTGCTGAAAAGGAACATGGCCTAGCAGAAACACCCTCTCTTCCACCTTTGAAGGCGCTAGGGCTGCGCAGGCTCTGCTGCCCAGACCTCAGGCCTTTCTCTCGGCAAAGTTGAGGAGTACAGAAGCCCTAGCTCACCTATGGAGGCCTCTGAACAGGCGCTTTGATTGTTAAAAAGAAGTTTCAGTTTCAGTTTAATTACTGTAAATGTTGTTTGCCTTCTCTGTTACGATGAAGTCTGGATTTTCATAGGGTCTCCCCCTCCCCTTCTCCTTAAACAGGTCTTCATCACTTTCAAGGTTTCTCATTGGCAAGTTTAATGAAATCCAAACAAGAAAGTAAAGAGAGGATCTCAAAGTTCAAGTCTTCACGCCCACGTAGGAGGCTGTGTGGAGACTGTTCCTGCTCTCAACTCCTAATGCTGCAGCTGCTTAGTGTAATCGACAGGATTCACCCCTTTACCAGATATTGGCAAATGAATCCCAACTATTAAACTTAATTACATCTTCTTTTCTCGAGAAGGTGCTGTAATTGAGAATAAGGAATAACTCGGATATGAAACGAGCAGTGCTTATAATAAAGGAGGGGGTTTGTTCCCTGATGATTTGAGCTTTGGAGGCACCATCTGGGTTTTATTATTTATTTTGCAGTGATGTGTGGAGAAGTCCATAGATCAGGGATTCTCAATCTTGGCACTATCGACATTTGAGACCAGATTATTCTTGTTGTGGGGGCTGCCCTGAAATTGTAGGATGTTCAGCAGCATTCCTGGCCTCTGCTCACTCAATGACAGTAGCACATGCCCCCCCCTCCCATTTGCAACAATCAAGAATGCCCTTTTAGAATATGGGTGTAAGGGCTTCCGGAGAACTTAGGAACAGTTGCAGAGGAATATCTGGAGGTTCTTCTGCTGCTGCCTGGCTAGGTGACCTTCAGCAAGCCACCGCACCTCTCTGAGCACCTTAGTGCGTTGGGAATAAAGTTAGCACTGACACATCACAGAGGCATGGCTTCCAGGCAAGTATAATGCGGAGTGCATACTGAGTCCTCAGTAATCCTGAACATTTTTGCATTATAACAGCCTTGAGTCCAGCAAACTTGTATATGAAGTGGTGAGGCGAAGGTGAGGAAGATGTGGTTCCTGCCCTTGTTGTCGTTAAGTGCCATCTCCCGGTTGGTTCTGACTCACAATGACTCTGTATAAGGTTTTCGAGGAGCAGCTGGAGAATTTGAACCACCAACCCTGCAATTCAAACTGACCTTGCAGTCCATTACTTATCCTAAAGTGTTACACGTGTCCTCCTATGGGTGGCAAATATATTCAGACTTGTTGGTACCACCTTGTTCTTCACCCGTAGCAGGCATTGCTAATCAATCTTCATGTTCCTTCCCATTAAGCCTCAGAATCTTTCACAACACACCTCTGTAGACATTCACTGTCACTGGTTGGTAATGGTCCATGACATGAAACTCATTTGGCACCCCTCATTTTGTAGATTTAGTCTTGCTCCCCAACCTAGCCCTCCCATGTTGGGTCCCCTTACCCACTGGAGAAAGCATCCTCCCTCCCCAACCTGCCTTCAGCATCCAGAGGAGAAAGATAGAATTGGAAGCATACTATCTTAAAAAACACCAAAAAAAAACCTGTTTTTCTTTCTTATCTTTTTTTGTTTCCATTAGAAATGGAAGCAAGTAGTAACATCGACTTGGTCTCAATGACATTTGGTTTTTAGATAAACTAGAGGAAATTCCACAGAATAGGATTCTGATTAATATATCATGCTGTCTCCCTCTTGGGTTTGCTCTGCCCTTTAGGGCTTGGAAAATCATTAGCTCTCCCAGAAAGAGCCCCAGCTTTACTAGGGCAGAATCATGGTTACTGGAAACAGCTTTCAGATGGCTGCCTACAGTGTCATTAGACAGGAGAGAGCAGGGAGCGAGTCTGGGGTTCAGTGTTCCGGGAGAGGTTCAGACATGCCCAGCTCCCTGATGAGCCGGCCACTCGGTAACAACTGCTGTGAACCAGGAGGTGTGCATCTGCAGCCACAAAGAGGAGCTGGCTGCTTCCATCTGGCCTGAAAAAGGAGAGCTGGCATGCGGTCAGCCTCTCGCAGCTCCTCTCCTTAGTTGGTGGAGATTCTATGGGAGAACTAGTTCACTTCTGCTGTTTCACACCTCTCGGGTCTGTGAGGTCTGAGAGAAAGAGGGTGGGTAGTTGGGCAGATGGAGTGATGGAAAGGTGCTCATGCTCAGGGTCTATGGATGGAGAAAGGCGCTTAGTCTAAAGTCTATGTGATTTATTCCTTCAGCCTCCCATCCATACATCTATCCATCTCTCCACCCATCTCTGTATTCATCCTCCTACCGGACTTTCTGTTCATCCACCCACCTACCTATCCATCCACCAGTCTACCTAATCATCTATACACCTATCCATCCATTCATCCATATAGCCATATATTCATCCACCTACCCATCCATCCATCTCTTTAGTCACTTACCCACCTGTCTGTCCATCCATCCATCCATCCATCCACCCATCTATCCATCTTTTTATTCACCCACCAACCTACCTGTCTGTCCATCTACCCACCCATCACTTTGTTCATCCATCCACTTACATATCCATCTATCCATTCATCCGGTTTGTGTAGCATGATTTCAGGTAGTATGTGGTTGGGAATTTTAAAAATGGTTTCCTATGATATGCAGAAAGTGATATACATTTAGAGTTTGCATTCAAGATAAATGTTATTTAAACAACAAGAAAAATTGAGTCAACTAAAAATATTACATAAGTAATTGAGTTGTACAGGGGCATAAACATATATTGCCATTATAACTCTGCATTTAAGGGCACCCGCCTAGAGTTCCTCAAACCTATTCAGTGTGACCTTGGACAAGTGATTTACCCTCTCTAAGCCTTACTTTCTTAACCTATAGGTTAACCATCCCAGCCCTTAGAGTTGTTTTGAGGATATAATGATCATGTGAGCTGCCTAGCATGCAAATGGAAGCGATGGTCAATATTATTTCCGCCACTTGTGACAGGTGGTCCTACCATGAGTTGAGGCACTTACCACTTGGCTTTGGTTTAACAAGTGATATCCTCCCAGGGCTGGTCCAGAGGCCGCCGCAGCCTCGGGCCCTGTGTATAATGGACTTCTCTCCTCTTCTCTCCACAGACACTCTGTCAGTGCCTCGCTGGTCCCCGCAGATCCCACGCCGAGACCTGAGCAACTCCATCAAGCACAGGTAGGTGACCTGCCCTCCACCCAGGACGTGAGGGGACTGGGCTGGATCCAGCCCCCTGCTTAGTGGGGGAAGGCCGACGAGGTGTTTTTTTCTAACCTCTAAGTCATCGTGCCCCTCTCCTCTGGGTGGCTGAACCCTGATGTTGGCAGCAGAGGACTGAGTTGGCTGCTTCTTACTCACCTGTTCCTCACACAGAATCCGCGCGCAGCATTAAAAACAGGGTTTAGGAGTCAATCTGGTCTGTTTTCAAATGCTAGTTGAACACTGTGCAATCTTGAGAAGGCTGCTGAATTTCTCTGAGTCTTTCTCATCAGAGGATTCTGCTTACCCATAAGGTGGTATTGTTATTGTCAGTTGTTAGGTGTGACAAGTTGGTTCCAGCGCACAGCCACCCTGGATAGTGTTTCTAAGGAATTCTGGTGTGGAACTGTAGGATAAGCACTGGACTGCTAATCTCAAATAGAGGTTCAAACCCACCAGCCAACTCATAGCGACCCTGTGTAGGGTTTCCAAGGAGTGGTTGGTGTGTTTGAACTACCGACCTTGTGGTTATCTGTCCGATGCATGTTCTCTAGCACCACATCAAGAATGGAAAGCCTCATTTTTATCCCAAAAAGGAGATGGTGAGCTCAAATCACCAAGCTTGGGGTCCAGTGCTTATCCCACAGCACCATACCAGGACTTCCCTTGGAGTGGTGGTGTAGTTATTAAGTGCCTTCAAGACAGTTCTAACTCATAGCGACTCTGTATAGGGTTTACAGGCAGTGGTTGGTGAATTTGAAACGCCATGGTCCAGCGCATTATCCCACAGCACCACACCAGAACTCCTTGAGGTTAGCAGACTAATGCTTATCCTACAACACCACACCAGTGCTCCCCATAGGGTGTTGTTGTTGTTAAGTGCTGTAGAGTGGGTTCCGACTCATAGCAACCTATATAGGATTCCCAAGCAGCAGCTGGTGAGTTTGAACCACGGACCTTGTGGTTCATACCAATCTTGTGGTCCAGTGCTTAATCCCACAGCACCACACCAGGATTCCCCATAGGGTGCTTGTAGTGGTGGTTATGTACCATGGAGTTAGTTCCAACTCATAGCACCCCTGCATAGGATTTCTGAGGCTATAAATCTTTATGGGAGCAAAAAGCTTCATCTTTCTTCCATGGAATGGTTGGTAGTTTAGAACTGCTGACCTTGAGGTTAGCAGCCCGACTTGTAACCACTATTGAGGATGAAATGAGATCTGTGGGAAGGGTGCAGCACAAGGCCTTGTTGTTGTTAAGTGCCATCGAGTTGATTCCTACACTTAGTGACCCTGTATAGGGTTTCCAAGGATCAGGTGGTGAGCTTGAACCACCAACCGTACAGTTCAAACGACTTTGCAGTCTGGCGCATTAGCCCACAGCGCCACACCAGGACTCCTACAACCAGGCCTGGCACATACTAAATATTCTGTCAGTACTGTTATTGTTGAAATAAATGCTCCCACCGTGAAGACACAAGCTGGCACCTGGGGCCTGGCAGACTAGACTCACCAGTGCCCGCTGCCTGCTGAGGTATGGGACAGTGCAGAGCTGACCACTCAGCCCAGCCTCTCCAGGGTACACCTGCCCCTGCTAGCTGGGCTGCGGACTGGGGGGCAGGGTTTGTATACACCAGTCACCCTATACAAGATACCCTATTTAAAAAAAAATCATTTTTTATTTCATTCTCCTCAATGCTGGGGAGGTGAGGCATGTATGGTGGTGCCCATTTGAAGAGATGGAGAAACTGAGCCCTTGGGTGTTAACTGGTGGATCTAAACGCTGTTAGCCTCAATATGTTGTGTTTCTTTGACCCCCATTGTACTGGGGCCTCTGTGAAGTAACCAAGGGCACTTGGGACTGGTGTTGACAGTTTTTATGTGTGGTGCTGCAGGATAAAGCGCTGGACCACAAGGTCGGTTTGAGCTACAAAATCAGAGGTTCAAGCTCACCAACTACTTCTTGGAATATTATACAGGGTCACTAGGAGTCAGAACCGAGTCGACAGCACTTAACAACAACATGCCACGGTTGCAACATCCAGCCTGGAGTTCCTGGCTTAGTGGTGGCTGAGATGGAGCCTGTGTGGAGGGCTGGGGGGTGGGAGGTGGGGGTGGGAAGGGGGTAGCGGGGGTAGGGAGGGGTCATCCGGGTAATACTAGAGCAAGCACACAGCTAAGGCCAGGGTCAGGCAGGAATGCACTCTCTCCCCAGAGACCACTGCCCACGAAGTCCATGAAAGAAATGTACTGAGGAAACGTAGGAGGCAGCACTGAGAAATACTTGATTAAAATCGAGGGTCAGGCAGTGAAATGCCGAGAGAAGCGTCCAGTCCTTTCTCTGTATTTGCTTCCCTGTGGCTCCCAGCCCCATCTCCCCTGAATCCGCCTCGCCACCCTGGGGCTGATGCAGGATAGAGCCAGAGGAGAGTGTGTGGCATGGATGGATGGCCCTGGCTTGGAACTGCCCTGTGCCTATCTTCTCCCTGCCCATGCCTCTACCCTCAGCCTGTCTCCTCCCCTGCCTGTCACCCTCTTGCCACGCCCCTTGTCTCTCTGTCTTACCCCACCTTGGATCGGCCACACAGCCAATTCTTACCATACCCACTGCACAAGCCTCTACTCAGGAATAGGCCCGGCCCCTGAAAGGCCACGCCCCCTTCTCTGCCCCACCCCCTAGACGGGCTGCACAGTGCATTAGGATGGATGCCGGAACCTGTGGTACGTCCACCTCACATGAAGATGCCAAGAGAAGAAAGGCCATGTGATGATCTTGGGGCATTAGGAACATCTTGTTAGGGGAGTTGAGAATTGGGATGACCATTACTTTTCAGTCTCACCCTACCTTTCCCCAGCCATGGTACAAAAATGAAATTTAAGTTCCGTGCTATTACGGCAGAGCCAGAGAAGGAGATCAGGTCGCGGGAGGAAAGGGCTGGAAATGAGAGCAAACCCACCTGCCATTCACCTGCCTGCCTGCCTTCCACTCCATGATGAGTGAGTGAAATTCAGAGTGAGTGAAATTCATTTCCCGGAGCTGTCAAATCCTACAAAACAGACACTATTAAAGTCTCTGTCATTGCTGCAGGGGCCAACCCCCTGTCCCAAACTGGAGAAAGTTTTCTTGGGTAACAAAAATGTTCATGAGGAATAGTGCAGCCTGCTGAGATCTGGATGTTGGGGACGTGCGGTTCATTCTGCTGGGAGGGTGGCTTCCTCACAGCAGGCAAATGGGGCAGCCAACCGGTGCGGCCCTTTCCTTAAAGTTCCTGGGAGCTGAGTTACATCATCATTCCCTGTGTTCATTTTGAGAGTCTGAGGCAGTGGAGATAAGATACAACGCCTGCTGACTGTGGAAAAAAATTGAAAATTAAATTTAACTGTGACCCAGACCAGCTCTGCTTCAGCTTTCTTGGGGTAGCAAGCCCCCCAGCAGCAGGGGAGATCAGAGTGCTAAATCAATGCACCTCCTCTCCTGTTGCTCTGTAGTTGTGTATTTAAAAAATTTTTTTAAACAAAACAAGAAAAGCGCTTGCCCTGGAGTTGATTCTTACTCCTAGTTTGTCAGAGTAGAACTGTGCTTCATTGGTTTTCAGTGGTTGATTTTCCAGAGTTAGATCACCAGGCCTTTCTTCTGAGGTGCCTCTGGGTAAACTTTTGGTTAGAGCCAGTGGGTTTCATTGTCTACCCCACTCAGAGGTCCAGCTGTACCTAGGAAGTCGCTCAGCTGCCCTGTGTTGGCAGCAAGTAGTAAACTAGTGGTCTGAGAGGGCCTTTGGTTTAGGGGTCTCTTCTCTACTGCTAAAGTGTGGGGTCTTTCATCTTTAATGCTGTCCAAGTAGCATGACCAACAGTGACCAGGAAGTTAGAACTAATTTGGACTCCCTAGAGGCCCCACCTTGCTTTGTAGCTTTCTCTGTCCCATAACTTACCTTGGCCGACTGTACACTGCCAGGCTCTGTTGGTTGAATGCATAAGTGACTGGTATGAATATCTCAGGTCTTAATTAGAGTCATAGACAGTTTCCTGAGCACATACTACATTCCAGGTTTGACTTTGTTTAATCCTGCCAACAACCTATGAGGTCAGCCCTATTCTTATCTCCATGATGAGACTGCGTCTCCGGTGGTTTAAGCAATTTGCTCAAATTACAGCTCTGGGAGAAGCAGCAGGACTGGAATCCAGACCCATCTAATTGAGGGGCCCACACACATTCCTTTATGTGACCCCATCACCTTATTCTTGAATCTTTCTCTCTCCCTTCCACAGGTTTTCCACCAAATACTGGATGTCGCAGACCTGCACAGTCTGTGGGAAAGGGATGCTCTTTGGCCTCAAGTGTAAAAACTGCAAGTAAGTGGCTGCCCCGTGAACCGACCCTCCATGGTGCTTGATATCAAGTAGAGCCACACTGGCTCTGAAGTACTCTGTGGTAACATGGTTTCCTGACTCCTGGGAGAGTTATTTGTTGAGCCCAGATCTTGACCCTACCACTTTCTAGCTGTGTGACCTTGGACAAGTCACCTGGCATTTCTGACTCCTGTGTTTTCACCTGTAAGGAAGCACTGACACTCCTCCTTGCCTTGTTGGAGTGAGCATATGGTTCAGACCAGAACACACACTTCACCATGCCTGGTTGTCAAATTAGTTCTAACTCATAAGGACCCCATGTATGTCAGAGCAAACTTGGGCTTCATAGGGTTTCCAGTAACTGAGTTTTGGGAAGCAGATCACCAGGTCTTTATTCTGAGGCACCTGTGGGTGGAGTTGAGCTCCAACCACCCCCTCTTTCAGTTAGCAACCCACTCCCTTAATGGTTTCCATGCAGACTCCAGTCAGAGTTCAGTCCTCTGTGAAAGGTTGTGATGGCCATTCTGTCTGTCTCCCCAGCCTCCCCCTTTCCTGTAAGCATCTATTAAGGTAGCCACTCTGCTTTAGTGAAGGAGCCCTGGCGGTGGAGTGGGTTACACGTTGGGCTGCTAACCCCAAGGTCAGCAGTTTGAATCCTCCAGCCACTCTGAGGGAGAAAGATGAGGCTTTGTGGTTCTGCCTTGGAAACCCTGTACAGGGTTGTTCTATGTCAGAACTGACTCAACAGCATGCTGTCACCTCTACTACCTGCTGGAGTGATGGTCAGCTCACGGGTAGCATCCGCTTGTTTGGAGTATTATATAAATGCATGTGCATCTGTTTGCTTTCTGGGGTCTCTTAGGTAAAGGGTCAGTGGAACCCCCCCTTGCCTGGGCAGACATCTTTCCCTTGTGTCCCTCAGATCTCCCAGCAAGGCCGCCCCATGGTGGAGGTGGGACCATGGCAGGGGTGTGTTCTCTCGCCTCCTGACCAGGGTTTGACTGGAGTAATGAATGGAAGGCTGGGAAGAGTCATTACTGACTTCAGCCCCAAGGAGCGGTCAGGTCCAGGAAATAAGGGGCAGCGATTCCATGCAGGCAGGGTGGGCCCTGGCCCTCTGGTGAACCTGCAGGATGTGGCTGCAGGGCCTTCTGATTCCAGGACACACAAGGCCCATTCCTGGGTCTGGGCCATGGGCGGTCTTTATTCTCCAGCATCCTGGCTGCCCTGGCCAGCTCCCCCATCCTCACAGCTGCCCCATGGGGCCTTTGAAGTTGGGTAATTAGATGTCAGGACTCAGCCCAGAGCCTGAAAAGCTGAACACATTTGGAGTCATTTTAATTCTCGGCCCTGGAGGTGGAAGCAAATTTCCCTCCTGCTCTCTGTTCTAGAAATCAGAAGCAAAAACACCAGGGCCCACTGTTTCAGCGGAAAAGAGACTGGATGAGCTGGGGGGAGGGGAGGAGCTACAGGGAGCATGGGTTGGGTTTGGCTCCTCCCTTCATTCACCTCTCTGTGTGGGCTTGACCTAGGGACTTGTCATCTCATCTTGGGGATTTGACTTCTTCTTCTGCTGGCACCACCTGATCCTTATTTTTGGAGGAGTCCTCCTCAGATGACAATGACTAACCACCCTCCACAGACCTGGGCTGACCTGCATCCTGGTGAGCAGGAGGTGGGGCTCCTACCAAATTCGGGCTGCTTTGCCCACTGCTCTCACCAGCTTGTTCGGCCCTAGAAAACCTGCTCCAATAGTGAGTGTCGCTTCTCAGCTGCTAGCAGTGTGTGCTCCAGGGGTCTGGTCATTGCATTGGTGATCACCAAGGGGAGAAATGTTGCCACTGCACAGTTAGGAGCTGGCATTACTCATGGCACCAAAATGTGGACCGAGTCTTCAGGGAATAACATCTGGCCCCTTTGTTTGTTTGTTGTTTTTAATGTTTTATTGTGAATTATATGATCGTTTACATGAGAGAACTTTAGTTTTACATTCATTCCATCGTATATCATTTCATTGCCATGGTTCCAATCCC